GATGGTTTAGACTTGGGCTCTGGGCTCCTGCCATTGCTCCTCAAAACCAGTGCTTTTGCCACAAATGTGCAAAAGTCCCGAAGGAAGCCTAAGAAGCTTACCCTAAGCCTTCTTCTGGGGTCTGAAGCACCCAGGAAGGTGGCCTGGGGAGGGCTAGGGGGTGCAGGTTGGATAAATCCATGAAGCTCTCCACATTATTGATCGTAATTTCCCCCTCAACTTTAATAATTTGTAATACCATGCTACCATAACCACCATCCATCTCCAGAACTTTATGTCTTATAAGACTACAAGTTTATACCTATTAAAACAATAACTCCCCATTTCTCTCTCCTCCCAGCTCCTGGCAACCGTCTTTCTACTTTCTGTCTCTATGACTTTGACTACTCATACAGTATTTGTCTGATTGCAACGAGCTTATTTCACTCAACATAATGTTCTTATGGTACATCCATACTGTAGCAGATGTTAGAACTTCCTTCCTTTTTAAGGCTGGGTAATATTCCATGTGTGTGTGCATATACCACATTTGGCTTCTTCATCCATCTGTTGATGGGCACTTGGATTGCTTACACATTTTAGATACTGTGAATAATGCTGCTATGACCATGGATATACAAACATCTCCTTAAGACCCTGCTTTCAATACTTTTGGGTATACACCCAGAAGTGGAATTGCTGGATCATGTGGTAGTTTTATTTTTAATTTTTTGAGCAACTTCCACACCACTTTGCAAGTGGCTGCACCACTTTATGTTCCCACCAATAGTGCACAAGGGTTCCAACTGTTCTATATCCTCATCAGCATTTGCTATTTTCTGACAGTAGCCATCCTAATAGGTCTGAGGTGGTATCTTGTAGTTTTGGTTTGCATTTCCCAAATGATTATTGATGTTGAGCATCTTTTCATGTGCTTACTTACTGACCATTTGTATATCTTCCTAGGAGAAATAGTCTATTCAAGTTCTTTGCCTCTTTCTGAATTGGGTTGTTTGCTTTTCCACCTTATATATCAAACACCTGCATAATGCCTACTATGTGGCACATCACTGTTAATCTTAACAACCCATGAGGCAGGCGCTGATTTTCCCAGGTACACTTGCCCAAGGCCATAAAACCAAAGGATGTGAACCTAGGAAATGTAGTTCCCGTACTTGTGTGTGTGATTTCTGGGCTCTGTTGTCATATGAAGAACCTGCTCCTGTCAGTTCTCTCTGACTTCCCTGGCAAGCCCTGGACATTTAATTCTTCTCTGCCACCTGAGGAGTTACTTGGGGTCAAAAAAGATCCTATATGGGGACAGCAAGGTGGCCCAGAACCCGGGCCCCTACCTGGGAGGCAGCCCATAATGCTATGAAGGTAAGAATCTTGGGACTCCCGTTTCCCCAGAGGGCCAGAAACAGCTCTTCTAGGGCTTTAACTGTTTGTTCTAGTCAATATATTCTCTGTAAGAAATTTCACTGGGAACCCTGGATGGTGTGGGTTTGTGGATTGAATGATGGCCTGCGAGCAGGAAGGTTGCTGGTTCAATTCCGGGTCAGAGCGCATGCCTGGGTTGTGGCCCAGCCCTTCAGTTGAGAGCGTGCAGGAGGCAACCAGTGGATGGGTGATGCATCTCTTGCACATCGGCATCTCTCCCTATCTTTCCTCCTCCCTTCCCATCTTTCTAAAAATAGATAGAACCTTAAAAAAAAAAAAAGGAAACTTCACTGGGAAAGGACCAGGGACACAGGCATAAAACTTGGACATGTGAGTGGTTATTTTGAGGATAATGGGTCTTGAGTACTTTACACCCAGGCACATTTAAAAATAAGCAGGTTTCCAACATGTAAGGATGGGCCAATCTCTGAGGTTATTGAGTAAAAAGTCAACACTGTAAAGTCAATTACACTATTGACAGATACTCTTACAAGGAGATTTCACATCATAATTATATGCAAAGGAACCCAGCAAATACAAGCTGTGTAATGATCAGCTAATAAAAGTAACACTTCATCTATGTCAATAATGGTTTGGGAGTTAAGACAAACAAACATGGCCTTTGCCACTCAGCAGAGGAAAAAAATCCCTGAAAGACAAATATTTTCACTTAAGGAGAAGTCACTTAGACTCACACAGAAAACCTGTCACACGAAGCAGAGTAGGAAATTGGTCCTTAGTGGGTGCTAATGACTCTCTTGCCCTCCCTCCAGCCCCAGCTGCACTGACAGGGACAGCGCCCCACGTAAACATTTGCACACCCCCAGGCACCCCTGGTCACCGCCACGTGGTCTGGCAGAGGACATTTGCTGTTGTTTTTGTCTCTGTTAGACTGTTTTCCTTTTCACCTCAGCTGAATCTAGTCCAACTGACACACGGCCAAACTGAAAAGACATTTAAATTACCATGAATGTGAAAGAGCAAAATAAGATTTTCTCCCCCAACCACTTCTTAATGAGTTTACACACAAACTGATTCTGCAAATAGCCATGAAACTATGCTTATGTTCACTTTTTTCTAAAAGTACCCCTGTGCCTACCGTCTGCCAGGCACTGGGGACATAAAGAGGGCAAAGGTATTAATATCCAGGGTTGTTGACCTTGCAGAGCTTGCAATACATCTTTGCCCAATTTCTCTTAAAACTGGGGTGGGAGATGCAGAATTTGGACAGGGGACTGGAAATGCATGATGCCTTTCTTAAACTGATTATGTCTATTCCAACAGTAACTTGTCTAGTTTCCGCAAACTTGGATGAAACAATTCTGCTCCAAAACCCTATGACCCCAGGAAGGTCATTCTTAGACTTCATGTGCTTTGATGGCAAACAGGCTTTGAGCAAGTGGTGCCATTATGAAGCTACTGTCACTCAGCTCCAAACCCATCCTTCCACAGGGTTTCCTACAAAGCGACTGGGGCTGGGCTGTGCAAGCCGCATTTCTGCTGCCCCACCTGGCTCCATGCTAGGCTACTAACGGAGCCAGGTGCCCCAGAGAGACTGGGGAGGGGAGGGAGAAGGGGCACGCTCCTTCCTGTGCGCTTCCCCCTGCAGCGGCAGTTCCTTCCTGCAGTAGCTGCTGAACCCGCTCTGTGGTTCTTCCAGCACTTGCAGAACCCATTTCTTTCTGTTCCCTCAGAGGTACCTGCATCAGCAGGCGCCTTGTCCTCAGAGATCCCTCTGGTCCTCCCAACATCCCTCCTCTGAGCTCAGAGACTCCAGCCCCAGCTGAGCGGTGCCTGCCCTGAGGTCTGAGTTCCAGCTCAGAGGGGCAGCCACCCAGCCGCTTCCCTGCTTCCCTGCTTCCCTGGCTGAGGGGAGGCTTCCCGCAGGGGCTCCCTCCTCGACACCTTGGCTCCTCCTTTTACCCCGCAGGTTACTTGGTTAACACTTTCTCCTCGGTCAGTGGTTCTTTACGTTCAAGTCTCTTGTCTGAATGTCCATTACCTACTGCGTTTTCTGTCTCTGGACTGGACTTGAAAGCTGTTCTGTGGTCTCTAACTGTGGAAGGAGCCGAAGCGAGGTGCTCACTGGACTAGGTAAGCGGTCACTTGCTTTTAACCAGAAACGAGGCTTCCCCTTTTTACTGTAGTGCTTTGTTGTCTTCTGACCAAAAACAAAAAATAAATGAGCGCTTTAAATACGCTACTGAGGGTATTAATCAATAAAATTGGCAATAATATATGACATGAGGATAATAATTTAGATCAGGATCGCCCGCGCTCCACCCTCCCGCTTGGCTCTTTTGTGCCCGGTCCACTGGGACGGCTGGGCCCACACGGACAGCCAAGCTCAAGGGCACCCAAAGACGCGCTAGAGGATAACCTGGAAGAGTGCGCTCAGCATCTGCTAAAGGAAATAGATTGCTGCTCCATGGGAAAATAGTCTACGGTCTCCAAACCTCAACCAACAAGGTGGACTGAGAGGGGAGGCAGAAAAGATTTTAAGGAAGCACGTAAAGCAGAGCGCACCTCTCATGATGTGGCTTCCTGCAAGAGGCTTCCCATTTATGAACTCAAGAACTACTGCTCTGAGAACAACAAGGAAAGGTGCTGGACAAGAAGACCCTCTCTGTATATTTTTGGAAAGTGTCACCATGGTGGGTTAGCAGAAATAATAAGTACGTTTATAATTCTATTACTAGTCTAATTCCTTCCAAGTTTCCTCTTTATGAACTTCCAGAAACCAGTGTCTGCCCTGAAGATCAAGGGACTTCTATTCTGGCAAAAGTTGGTTGGTTTGCTGGAAAAACTAAAGACACGAGCATGCGGAGAGTCTCCACGCGGTTGATTCACGTTAGGGAGCCGGACCTTGCCGCTCCTATTTGCTCTGGGTGGGCAGAGACACGGCAGAGCACTCAGGAGCAGGCACCCAGGCTGGCGCACGGGAGGGTTCTCACTTGGCGTCGGGCCCTCGTCGGGGCTGGCAGTGGAGGGAGCAGACGGCGACAGAACTCTCCCAAGGGAGAGTTCAGCAGGGTGGGCAACTGACCTGGGTCTTGCCATAAGGGAAACGATGCCACCTCTTATTTATGGACCGTGTGCCAAAGCACATTTCGCACGTGGCTTTGCGTTTGACTTTCACCGCAACGCCTCGCAGGAGGCAGAGGAGCTTCCTGGAGGAGGGAACGGAGGCCCAGAGAGACCAGATACCTCTCCCGGAGCCACCAGGCCCGGCAGGCCGGGATCTACCGAACAACGTGCCCACCATTTCCTTCTACCCGCCCTACCCTGCTTTCGCAGAATAAATAAATAACTAGATAGATAGAGAGATAAATAAATAAAAACTTAATGATTTATCTTCGTCTCCTATCTCAGAGAGAGCAGGATAATCTGAGAGTCTGAGGAGGAGCTGGCATTTAGATTCGGGTCCCTGGGAGTTACTTTGATTTTTAAGCTCTAAAACCAGGCTTATCGTCTTCGCCACTTGGAGCCTGGCCTCTCCGTCCTGTCAGGAGGCCCCCGCCGGACGCACCCTGCCCTTCCCACTCCTCAGGCGGGCCGTGCCCAGCACGTGCCTCCCTTACCTCACGGCGGCCGTCATTCCGATGGGAGTGACTGGCAATGGCCGGACTCCGGGGAACAGCCCTCGGCTCAGAACCCGCGCTCCGTTTTGTATCACTCCCGGAGGAACTGGAAGAGCAAAGGAGAAAAAGACACCACACGTGAATTCGGCTGTGAAGGTTTCCCTTCTGAGTCAGAAATTTTGGATGGAGAAAGAAAGTAGAGAGATAGAGGAACAGAGAGCAAGCAAAGGCAAACACACACACACAGCTACACACACAGCTACACACAGAGCTAAAGAGGCTGAGAACGAGACAGAAAGACAGAAAGACGCCACACCTCAGGAAAAGAGATTCGGCCAGCCAGGTCAGACCAATAAATAGCTTACGACCACTCCAAACATTATTTCCTCGCATTTACTAAATACACAAAAGCTTCGATCACCAGCCAGACCCTATCAAGATCTCAAGAACTCCGGGACAACTGAATGCAAGTGCCACACAAAGGCACTTCCTCATGCTTCTCCACTCATGGTCAGAGGTTGAGGACAGCTTTCACTCTGTCCTTAGTCCAGCAAGGGGGAAAAAGAGACAGCCAGAAATAACAGCACAGCCGGTTTTATAAGCTACTTGGCACCTCGGTGCGCACAGCACAGTTCATCCTCCCAACATCGGCGCCGTGCGAGGGCAGCCTCAGCGCTGTTGTTGGGAACGAAGGGTGGACGGCAAGGCTCTGGCATGTGCCTCAGAAGCACCCGGAGCCCGCTCTGGACGCCCGACTCGCTCCTTCCTGAAGCTTCTCCCCAAGCCCATCTCCTGGTGCCCTTGACATGCCGCCTTCTCTAACCACCCTACCCAACCCCGACCCTCACTCTCCTCGCCAATGGCCATAAACCTGTCCATCTTCCATAAGCTCGCAGCGGCCACACCCCCGCCTGATTCTGAGGGTTTACACAGCAGGGCAACTGCCAGGAGAGCCCTGACATCGGACTTCTCTTGCCCGCCCAGCGTCAGTTTCAGGTGGTTCAAGCTAATATTCCCACTGCACCCACCAGCACCCCTCCACGTGTCTATGGGGCCAGGCGTGAGAACACCAGTCCACCTGGGATTTAATTTTAGTTCTCATGTGACTTTGTGCATGGCCTACAACCTCTTCTTCCCTCTCTGAACAGTGTTCCTAAGACCTTTCTGCCGTCAGCACTGGAAGAGTCGCCGAGCTCTGGCTGTGTTCCTGCAGCCCCCCGGGCACCATTTCATACAACGTGAACAATCTGTGCTTTTCCAAAGGCTACGCCACAAAAAAATCCAGAAAATCATATCTCCCAAAATGGAAACTATTCTGGATATTAAAATTTTAAAGATGATATTTCTTGTACAGGACAAATACTTTCTACAAAACATACACATATGTTTTACCCATACAAACGTTAGGTCTCTAAGAGCATGCCTGAATAATATTCCAAACCTTTCCTCAGGGAGGATGAATGCCCACTCTCATACGTGGGATCGCTTTAGTGACTCACTGCCTGGGCATCCTGGAGCTCTTGGAGCATTTTTGCCATTTGTCTGAGAGGTCTGTGGAAGGCTCTTGTCACTAGCTTTTACAAAAGGCGGGGGCGGGAGATAAAATTGAAACTAGTGCCTAAAGTCAGTACTACTAGTGCTGTTTCTTACCATATTTAATTGTGAGAGTAGGCTTAGGTAGATCAGGGCCTCCTACCCACCTCTTACTATTAGCTTGGTTTCAGATAACAGATCATCTAAGGCAGGAGACTCACCAAGTATCTTAAAAAGCATGAAACCTGTTATAATGTGATGATATTGCAACTGATTACCACACTTTGCTTAGTTGATGAGTTCTCAATAAGAGTGTCTAAAATTTATATTACCTGATTCACACAATCTGATTTCAAGACTTCCTGTAAAACTACAAGGCAGGGAAGTATTGACATATAGACAGACATAGGAATCAATGGAACAAACTAGACCCCCACACACACGTGGTCAACCGGTTTTTGACGAAAGTATCAAGAAAACACCACAGGGAAAAGGAGAATTAGAACAGTTGACAATTCTTTTGGAAAAAAATGAAGATTGATCCGAACCTCATACTGTACATGAAAGTTAACTAGAATTGGATCATAAACCTAAATATAAGAACATCAGAAAACTATGAGAAGAAAATGTAGGGGAAGATATACCAAGAATTCTCAAGGAAAGACATGTAAAAACTAGCAGGACTTGGGCCTGTAGACAGGTGTTCCAGACAATATGTATATGTTGTCTAAAAGGACAGGCTTTCTGTTTGTTTTAGGGGTTGAGGGAAAGGGTTTTTCAATTATTTTGCTGTATGGTACTTGCCTCAAAATGGTCAGATAACCAGAGAATCAGTCCAACTCTGATACCGCTCCCTGCTGTATCAGTCACTAGGGATCTCATCAAGAGCAGCAAGTGAATCTGATAGAACAGACCACCCGATAAGTATTTAAAACCTGTACCACAGTAATAATTCTTGCCAGTAAAAATCATTACCGTCCTATATGCAGATCACATCAACTAATGGATCAAATCTTTTACAAGTACTTGCCTACGTGTCAGGTGAAGGAGACACAGGGCCACCACAGTTAAGTGGGATGGAAAGAGAATGAGAAGCAGTGAAAACACAGGAAGGCCAGCGCTGGGGCAGGAAGCCTCTACGCACGAAGGACGGAGACACCTGACCCGAAGTCAGCGGTCTCTGGGAAGACTTCCTGTAGGCAGAGGAGCAACGCACATGAGGCCTGGAAGTGACAAAAAGCACGCTGTGCACAGGAACTAAAAACTGATTTTGCTAGAGCACACAATTCTAGCAGGAAGGAGATGCGTTTGGATTTTATCCCTTAGATCCTGAGGAAACCATAAAAGCGTTCTGAGGAGGAACGTGATCTTAAGCACAGTGGCGGAGAGCCAGACTCCGGTGTCGGATGTCCTGGGTCTACATCCCATCTCTGCCATTTACTGCCTGTGTCCCCCAAAAAAGCTGCTTAAGTAAGAAGGGGGTCAAAACATGGTATTTATCTCACAGAGGACTTGGAGCCCTAACTGAGTTAGTAAAGGCACTATTACTTACAAAATTATATGTTAGTTACCTGTGTTATTGTCATCATCAACACAGCCAACACCCACAAGAGTGAGCCCGAGGTGGCCTGTGCTTTCTCCACTCCAGGTGAGCTGAAAGCCCATTAAGAACAAACTGAGACCAAAGCCAGACTATGCTGAAAGGACTTGGCCATCTTCCTGGTCAAGGAGTTGCTGAAAGAGCAACAACTGCTCTTATGTGGCCCGCCTTCCCCTGTCCATACCCTGTCAGTCACCGGGGACAGGACCAGGGAGCCCCGGGATGCAGAGAGAATAGGTGGGAGTCCCAGTGCACACGCTCTCGGGGACGCTGCCTAACCAGTGAATCACCTGCCGGGCAGAAGGGAAAGCAGCCCAGAGTACAGAGCCTCATGCCGGGAACCCAGAAGCACGAGGGACAGGCCCAGCGGGAAGGGAAACTGAGGAAGCCAGCCCGCCCCCTGCACCTACTGGAGGCCATGTTCTCTTGATGCCCGTCTCATTCCAGCCTTCGTGGAAGAAGAACCCCGCCGTCGTTAGGAGGACACGCGGGGCAACATGGCCTCCCCCCAAAGTCTTGCCCCACCACTAGCACTGAGCTTTTGGGCAAGGGCCGTGACCATTCTGAGCCTCAGTTTCCTCCCCTGGGAAGCTTGCATCAACAGGCCTCACAGGGCGGTTTTGAGGATTAAACAAGTTACCTCAACTGCTTAGCTCAGAGGCTGGCCCGTCGCGTCAGCTCAACGTCACCACCACCACCGCACGCGCACGCACCCTCGCACCCTCCCACCGCGCCGCCCCACCTCTCCAGCATCCTCTTGTTAATGATCTGTAAGGCACGGGGCCGGGTGAGGTCAGGGCACAGGGACAGGCTTCCAGCCTCTGGTGCTTTTTGTAGTTGCCCCTAACTCTGCATTCACCCTTTAAAACATCCTCCTGATTAATGAACTGTATTCACTTCAAAGAGAATCTCAGGGACAGAGCTACCCCGCAGCATTAAAAGGCTTTCCCTGAGCTATTTCCTGAGCCTCACAGGACTCCTGGCAGGGAAGCCAGGCTCTGCTGCTGAAGCCTGAGCTTGTTCTCAAATGAGCGGCAACCGATCGCTGCCTCTGCCAGCGCTGGCATTTCCCAGTCCTTATCGCTGGCAGTGCTCTGCAGGTTGGGATGTGTTCCTATTTGCTCCCCGACTGCCAGAAACCAGCCGTGGCCCTGAACGCTCCCCCCTTCCTTTCTCCTGCCTCCATCCCCGAGGGTCGGGAACAAGGCTTCTGAAGGCGAATCCCAGGCAGTCGACAATGGGTGAGGAAGGCACTTCAGCACTTTTTTGATTCTGAGATCCTGAAGGAGCATGAGGTCCATTCCTTGGCCCCTTCTCAACTAGCACGTCTAGCTGTCCATTTCTTTTACTCTGTATTTCCCTCAAAGTCTATCAAAACACTGAAAGCCCAAGCCATTTACAACAGGGGCCAGGGACCAGTACCGGTCTGTGGCCTGTTAGGAACTCAGCCGCACAGCAGGAGGTGAGCGGAGGGCAAGTGAGTGAGTGAAGCTTCGCTCACAGTACCGCCTGGGCTCCCCCGCCTGCCCTGCCCTTCTTCCGTGGAAAAATCGTCTTAAACCGGTCCCTGGTGCTTTACAACCAGTGCACCTCACCCAATGTACTAAGCTATACCTAGGCTCCAGCTAGAGAAGAGATGCAATGAGAAACTGGACATTTAAAATCAACCTGCAGCTTGGGTTTGTGGCTCTCACTAGAAAAGGCACAGGCTCCCTGAACCCTCCCTTTCTGTTACAACGTGCGGTGTCGACAGGCAAGAAGACACATACCTGAGACTCTCAACTTGCTGGAACCAGGTGCCAAGGGTATCAGGAGCAGAGTGGATCAACTGCTCTCTCTTAAGTTAACCGCTTGACTCAAAACCATCTTATTTTTAACCAGCAAGAAAGCAACACTCACACCCAAAAGAGTCGAATCACGCAGCACCGCTCCCTGTGATCTGAATGTGATCATCTTGAGGACCTAAAAAAAGTCTATGGCACAAGACAAACCTCCCTCCACGCTGTGCCCCCCGCTGCTGGCACTTCCCCACCCCAGCTTCCCCCCTGATGCTTCGCTTCCTTGCTTTTCACAGCTTCTAAAATTAACCTCTGAGCTCCTGCCACTGCCTTTGGAGGGCAGCCCTGGCCAGCGCTACCAGAGCAGCCAGGTGACCTGACAATCCTTCCTTTCCCTCCACCTGCTTACTTGGAAGGATGCTGGGGAAGCCGGCCTCCTGGTTGCCTCTCTTCCGCGAGGCCTGGTGTGTCTGAAGCAGCCCCCAGCTCCAGGCAGGGCGCGGCACGCACCCATCTTGTTGTTTTGTTTATCTGGAGTCCTCTCTGGGAACATTCCAACCAGGGATTATATAAGCCTTTGAAGATGAGTAATGGTGATCTGACTTCTCCTGACTTCTAAACAGTTCCTCCACTGGGGTTCGAGATGACTCACAGGGCTTGTCAAAGGGGCCTGCAAAGCCCGTGCTTAAGTAGGTTGTAGAAGCTTAAATTAGTCTACACAGCCACTGTGGGGTGGGGGAGGGGGAGGGGGATGGATTTGACTAGAGGCATAACCCAAAGTTTAAGAGCTATTGAGGCAGCAATGCTCTGTGCTGATTTTTCTGGAAGCAGTGTCCTCCTATCTAGCATGGGAGACACCAGGGCGCTCCTGCAGAATGTTCCCCACGCTGCACACTGGCCAAGTCTGAAGAAGATAAAGCCACTGGTGGTGCTGCTGGCTGGTGCTGCTGGCTGGTGCTGCACACAGCAGCAGGAGCCTGAGGTGGCTGGTAGACGCGCACTGCTGTTGCGCTGAAAGGGAAGCATCGGATGCAATGAGAGGCCGAAGGGGGACCCGCGGGGGCCCCGGTCAAGTAACACAGGGTGCGCCGAGCCCCCTGCAGGCGTGTGGGACTCTCCGGAGACCAACGGGCTTGGCTGACTGGGGTTCTCACAAGCTCCTTGAGCTACTTCCTTTGCATGACCCTGGACTGCAGCTGGCCTGCCAGCCCAAACTAACTTTGCAGATGCCGAGCAAGAGCAGGAGAGGGAAAGATCTAATGGCTGCCTTTGGTGACCTGAGGTCGCGGGGCTACGGAGGGTGATGACAAAGGAAAAGCCTTTCAAGCCACCCAGGCCATCCTCTTACAGCTGGGAGAAAGAGTGGCAGGCTCATTAGCTTGGTGGCCCCGTTCACACACGAGCATCCAGCAGCCTAGGAGGTGGAAACAGGAGGCTCTAGAAACAGCCGGGCCCCAGACTGGCCTGGGGGCAAACACAGCAGGTGGTGTGCATACAGGGGCCCACGCTCCCTGACGCGGGGCGCGGCAGGAGCCGAGCCTGGGTGACACATGCACACTTCCACATGGGGACACGGGCACACCAGCACCATGAGGCAGGCTGCCCACACTCCATCAGGGTGGCTGGGCGTCTGCTGCCTTTGAACCTTTCTGCTGAGGATCCCCTCTCACTCATCCCAGGCTTTGGGCAAAGCCGGCTGAGTGGGGATGGAGGCGTCAGAAAGCGTTTCCCTTTGGGAGGCAAGGCCCTGCATCAGAGCTCAGGGTGAGAAACGTTAGGCAACGTACCATGAAAATAAAGGGAGGCACAGGAAGAGGGGAGCAGAGGAGAGCGAGGTGGGAGCAGAGCGTGGAGACACAGATGCCTGGGACTGCGTTCACTGGGAGGCTGAGGAGCCGCTGGCTTGGCTTCCCGAGCACCCGAGCAGGCACCTGGAACTCTGACCTCGCAGGGCGCCACAGCCCAGTGACTAGGCTATACCTCGACCTCCAGGGGGCTTTACTAGGGCTTGGGGCCAGAGGGGACAGTGAAGATACAGGTGATGTCATCACCCTCTCCCGAGCCTTTAATTTCCTCTCTGCTGCTCCCTCCACCCCCTGGCAGGGCCTTGGGGAGGCGGCGCTGGGCCCTCAGTGGGCAGAGCGAGGGAGGACGGCCTCCTAAAAATGAGCCTCCAGCTTCAGCACATGAATATTGAGCTCTGAACACTCCGATTCAGCGTTTCAAAGTAAACAAGACTGTGGATACTCTGGAAAATACAATTACTTACAGTTTGAGTGTGACAGTGAGGGCGGGGGAGAAGTTCATTTAGTCATGAGAGCATTAAAAACCATTAAATGGTCAACTAATAAGGAAAAACCTTTTTCCTATTCTACTCGTGACCAAGAATCCAGTGATATGGACTTTATGGAAGTTGCTGAGGATCCATGAATGGCTTCACCCCCTTGCCTTTTCCCTCTTAACTCTGCTATTCCAGTTCATCAAAAGTGCTTTTTTTTTTTTTTAAAACCAACGATCACTGTGTACAGTGGTGAGATGCTATGGAAGGTACTGGAATCTCACACAGCTCTGATGCAATCAGTATGTTTTCCCCAATGCTGACTTAAGTAACTTGATTTTAGAAGCCATTTCAGACTGCAACTTGATTATAATGTGGTCTATACTCTTTCTGCAATGTCATCTCAGAATGGAGTTTTTAAAAAATATTCTCCTGTCACTTCACGCATCATTAAAAACCACACTACAGGTTAACTGCTAGTTATAGGGCTGTGCCTACTGCACATCTCCTGAGCAGCAGTGGCGTTCGCTTCTCAGAGGTGTGGGAAGCCTGCCGTTTGAAGTGCCAGCAATCTCAGCTTAGCATAGAGAGCGAGAATTCCGAGCCTTTCGGAGTGCGTAATGGCAGCAGCCCCTGGCAGAGGGACAGTCCTTCCTGAGAACGCGTGGCTCTATCTTTTGCGTCTTTTTTTTTTAAGGAATAAGTAAGAAAAGATGGAGTCAAATTTCCTAAAGCTGTTGGAAGGAAGGCTGTGACAAGCGCAGGGCTGGGGAGGATGGCCTGGAACGCCACACCAGCCCGCTGCTAACGAGCGAGCGACAACCTGCTGCGAGCCGGAGTCTGGATGCTCTCCTGGCGGAAGCATGATGGACTCCACAAGTGAGGGATTCCCCTTGCTCAGGAGGCCCTGCAGCGCTTCGAGAGCCGGGGCCCCCAAAGAGGGGAAGGCCCGGCCATGAGAACGAGCCAGGAGGACGCTAGCCCCTGGTGTCGTGTGAGGCCTGTGCTTCCTCAACAGGAAGCTGCAGGCAGCCATGTCCCGAGGATGAGCTGAGCAGACCCAAGGGGACGAGCTGGCTGTCTGCTCAACAGGGCTGGGGCGGGGGATGGGGGCAGAGTAACTAATCTCAAGGCAGGAGGAAGAGGGGACAGCCAGCTCCATTTAAGGTCATTTTTCATCGCTCAGTAAGAAGAGCTTTCTAAAACTATGGTAGTCTAGCTCTAGATGTAAGGAAAGGAAACATCAGGTGGTGGATGGGAAAGTTGAAGGAAGGAAAAGACTTGTCTCAAGCTTGACATTGGCCAACGGCCGAGAGAAGGGATGAAGGAGCTCCGCTTAGCTACTCGAGCCCAGCCCTCCTCTCTACGGCGGCCTGGACGACTGGTGGCCCCATGGCGGCCTGTTTCAAGGCTGTTCCAAGCTCCTGCACAGCACCCACCTTAGCTGGTCTTCCCCCTCCTCTCCTTCTATACAGTGCAGGCCTGCGATTAATGAGATCCCAAAAGGGAAAGAAATTTCTAAAAATGTGCACTGCTCACTCCATGACTGCTAGGCTGGCCCCGTGTTACGTCTTCCTGTAGAAACTACAAACCCACAAGGCCCGTTCCTACAGGAGCAGAGAAGGCCTCTCCACTGGGACTCGTTATAGGGCCTGCTTCCCTTTCCCCAAGTCTCAAGCCCTGAAATGATATTACAACTTCGTCATCTTAGAAACACACCTATGCATTCATTCATTCACGCCTACGCACGGCCGCATGTTCATAGGCAGATGCATGTGATCATGCACTTAGGTCGTTTTAAAGGGATCCGACAGGGGAAGTTCTGCTTGAGCATTAGTTCTTCCTATGGCCTGGTATTATATAAATGAGAAGGTTAAGTTCACAAACTATGGTGCTGAAGGCTATAGAAATATCTACTCACAACCTGCTTGTATCTCAGGGGGAGTATTCAAAAGCATCATGGCACTGGCAGCATCAATGTCAGGATCTGGAAAAATCAACCAATAAATAACATTATTTACAACGGGGCCGGTGTGCGTGTCTGGTGTTTTCCCCCTGCACGTTATAGTTTATGAATGCAACAGAGAAAAAAGAAATCCAGAAACCAGATGAGCGATCCCAAAGGTGCCATCCTTCCCACTTGGATTTGAGAAGAAGAAAGGTATTCTAGAAGGAGATTTACGGGGCAGGTTTGTAAGTTTTTAGAACAAAGCATGGCCTCTTCTCATTTTTCTCATTTCCTAATTTGCACTGTATGTCCCTGATAACTTGCTGATCTGTGCACCTGCACGGCTTGTACCCCTGGGGTGCAGGCGTAGGAGAGTGGGGTGACAATAGGAAGTTCAGCCACAGGAATCTTTAATGAACTGAGAAAGCTCACAGCACCAAGAAGAGAAAGCATTAAATACACCTGCATCCACTGAGATACAAACGAGACATTTGGTCATTTCCATTTGTCAGCAGAATGTAAATTGTATTTTACGGGAGTGTGTGCGTGCACAGCGGCGGTGGAGGTGGTGAAGGCATTAAAAACACACACTTACAACGTATATGAAAAAATTAAAGTTACGATGTTGAGGGTACAACGTTTGCTTCTACATCTATCGTTGCTTTTAACATGGGACCAAAAGAATAACACTCATCACTTCATTGCTGTAATTCTTAATAGGTTTCTGAGTCCTTACTGATCCACCGGTCGACAGATGGCAGGTTATACAGAGACAGAGAAAAATATTATCCTTTTATAACTAAATTCATTTTCCTCTGAGAAACAGCAGCGCTGCTGCTATGGAAATGAAAGCCACCATGGCAACGGTAAACAACCCCCAAGAATGGTCACTGAATAGGCTGAAAAGAACATCTGCCCCTGCACCGTGGCCCAGCTGCCCTGGGGCGAAATTCACTAATAGTGCGGGGATGTCGCCACGGAAGCCCGCCTGTGCCCTGCCCAAATAAATGAAGTGTGCAATTGAAGTCGACATCAAAATGCCTGTCCTTGCAGATTACGTCTGTGTCCGCTAAGCCCGATGACAAATGGTGGGGGGCCGGGGCGGGGCGGGGATGGCACTCGTCAGTTTTTGTACAAATTACATACCAAAAAATCTAATTTACTACTAATGGCTCCATGGCACTTTATTTTGGGTATTATGCTGGAAAATGACTTCAAAAAGTACATTTTTCATACTTTATATGTGCAGTTTAATTCCAAGGGAGTCATGTGAGGCAGCAGAAAGCCCCACAAGTGATTAATAATACAGATGATGCTGGTTCCAGAAGGTAATATCTCAAAAAGAAGTAAAGGCACTTTCCTCTGCAAGCCCTTTTCTATTTTGCCTGCAGGAGGCCCGTTACTTACACTCCATAATGGAGTGAAAGTTTATTTTAACAAGTACGTTGTAGGAGAAACAGGTAAATTAACTTGTTTGGCAATTCCCGGGGTGAAATTCCTGAAACAGCCATGGCTCCCCACGGATATTAAAGTACATATTAGTTGAAGGATGCACAGAAAAACTTTACAGTTCCACTCACCGCCCCAGGGTTCCCGCCGCCCTCCGCTCTTGAGCACCCCCAGCGCCTGCTCCCAAGACACTGGCACCCCACTAACCAAGCCTCGGGGAGCCAGCAGCCCCTGGAGGTGCTGTGTGGGGCGGATGCCTTCCCCTCCTCCCTTTCTACTCCCTCTTTTTGAAAGGGCCCCTTCCTCTCTCGGGGGCCAGCCTATCTCTTTCAGCAAGTAAAGGCTATGTTTGCAGGCTTTGGGAATGCAAGTACCGCAAGCAACTGCATGGTCCCCGCCCTCCCAGGTGACGCTCCCGGAGTTTTCCTGAGCCACCAGGAGGTTCCATGCGGGACAGAACAGGAGGAAATACAGGTAAGAAGTTAGGAGTCTTTTTTCTATTTATTGTGCCAGAAAATTAAAGAAAGTACTTCCATAGTCTTCAAAAACACATTGGACCTCAGGAGGAAGGTGTAAAAGGCATAACGGGAAACAAAAAAGAAAACAAAACAAAACAAGAAAGAAGGAAGAGAGAGACCTTAAGCACAAAAGAACATAATGAACACTCATGAATTTCACAGAACCTATAGGGCAACCTGAGGAGTCCTCTAGAGCCACATAACACCCACCCACGATCCCATGGAAGCCAAATGAATACGAAACCTAAGTAAAAATGACGCTGTAGGGTGAGTCCCCTGATCCTTCTTTCCATCCAGATTTGCCACACCTCTGGCCTGCATGGACGAAAGTCCTGATGCCACGTGGCACTCTCCCTGGTCTCCAGGCATTCAGGGGCAGGTGCAATGCCCCGCCTTCTCATCAGCTCACTTGCAATCCATTCCCACTGCCCCGCTCTCCATTCTGAACAGGTCAGTTCCTGGGGCAGGGGGTGGGGCATGAGCTTGCATATGAAACCCTGCGGGCAGAATGAAATGGAGGGCAAGGTGTGGGATTCCTGCCTGCCCCCCAACACCTTGGCAGGCAGACTAGCAAACATGAGAACTGCAAAGGGCCTGAGAAAAGGTGCCTATGTGTTCACGCAAGCACACGCGCACAGTGGCGGGCCTCCCCCAGGGGTGCGGTGGGTGCCATCTTTGGTGTATAGTTTGTTAAGTTCTGACAAATTTTACTCCAATGCTACCACGACCGCAATCAAGATACCGAGCAGAACAGAGATACAGTTTCCATCGCCCCAAAGCTCCCTTGAGCCCCTTTGCAGTCACCCCTACCCTTGCCCTGGGCCACTACTGACTGGCTTTGCTGTTCGTCCACGATGTGGTATCAGGGGTTCATTTTTTAATTACTGCTATTATTGAGTGGTATTCCATGGTGTGGTTACACCACAATTTATCTGTCCACCTATAGGGGGGCATCTGTATGGCTTCCAGTTTTGGATTTTATGAAAAGGCGGCTATGAACTTTTGTACCAATTGTTCACGAACACGTGTTTTTGTTTCCCCTGTGTAATTGCTGGTGAGTGAATGTTTAACTTTCTAGCACCGAGATTTCAACTGGTGCGCCACAAGAATTTTTAAAACATGCAATTTAGTCAGGGGCACTGACCTCTTTTCTCTTAGATCATCAAATAAAAAAATGACAACAGCTAACACAACAATAACCGTCAGGTGTGAATGCCCTGTCTTGAACCATAAATATATGGGTCATATAATAGAGTCACATCGCATAATAAGGTTGTGTTTGATTGGTTAATTCTTGATACCAGAAATCCTTATATATACAAGCATAGGCACCTGATTTCTTAAAATGTTACTTTGGAGCAAAAAGGGTAAGTACTTCTATTATTATTTTTTTGTAAGTCAATCAAAATTATGCCCTTTTTTTTGTCAGATTGGCAAAAATTATACTTTCTGGTGTGCCACAGAATTCTGGTCATTAGTTTATGTGTGCCATGAGATGAAAAGGTTGAAAATTGCTGTTCTAGGGTAGGGTCCCCAAACTTTTTAACACCAGGGACCAGTTTCACAGAAGACAATTTTTCCACAGACGGAGGTGAGGTGGGGAGGGGAGACAGAGGGTGACGCTCAGATGGTAATGTGAGCAAAGCTTGGCCCACACCTGCCAGCTGCTCACCTCCTGCTGTGTGACCCGGTTCCTAACAGGCCAGGGGCCAATAACGTCCAAGGCCCGGTGGTTAGGGACCCCTGTTCTCAGGGATTGGCAAACTCCTTTCCTAAGAGGCTGTACCATGTGCAAGAGTTCCAGTTGCTCCACATTTCTGCCAACACTTGAAGTTATCAATCTTTTAAAAATTTTAGCCATTCCAGTCGATGTGTAGGGGTATTTCATTGTGGTTTTAACTCATATTTCCCTAATGACAAATGATGCTGAACATCCTTTTGTGCCTTCAGTGGTCACTTGTCTATCTTTTGGAAAAGCCTGTTCAAGGTTGTGCCTATTTTTAAAATTAAGCTGCTCAACTTCTTATGATTGTTAAGGTTTCTTCGAACATTCCAGGTGGAAGTCCTTTGTGAGATTTTTTTTTTTCAGTCCATGTCTCGTTTATTCAGTTTCTTAATAGTGTTTCTTAAAAAGCAGAAGTTTTAGATTATTATGAAGTCCAACGTATCAATCTTTCTGTAACTCACGGCTTTTTATGTGTCCCAGGTAAGAAATCTGTGTCTACTCCAAAGCCACAAAGACTTCCTCCTGAGAAGTATCTTTTATTCTCTTTGTTAGCATGTCAAATATAATGTTATCTGGGTTTAACACCCAGACTTACAGGTAAATGAAGATGAAGGCAATCAGCCAGACCTCTCCCTTCATCCACTACGCTAGATAAGCACAAAACTAAGCCCTGCACAGGCCAATGACCAGAGAACCCTACTGGCTCCAGGTCTGCTGTGGGGGGCACCAGGCAGCCATGGAGAAAAGTCTCTCAGAGCCTCCACTACACGCCCAACACACCTTCGTGCTCGTCACGCCCTGACCTCGTGCGTGCGCTTCAGAGCCAGCAGCCTCCCATCTCTCCTCTCCAAAGAGCTGCCACAGGCTTGGTCTGATGTACTAGTAAAGTGTCTAAGTTTCCCCCTATGTAAAAAGCTCCCTGTAGAAAACATACACTAGGTGGAGATAATTAGAAAAATAAATGCCTTCCCCACAGACCTACTCCCAGATTCATTCTCCTTCTGTATGTCCAGAAATTGTTTATGTAAATATAGCTATTTACATATATCAATATATATTTATTGAAATACCAACATACATATTTACATGCATGCACACGTATCTATTCTTTAAAAATGGATTCATAGGGAAAACATTTTTCTGAAAATAGCTTTTTCTTCCTCCTATCTTCTACCTTTTCATATTAGTATACGCGATCAGAAGTTCTCCCATGGTGACTTCTGGTGCATGAAAATACACTTACAGTCTCTTTCTTTTGGACTGTAGGCTACCAGAAGTCAGAAACACAGCATTTGCAACCTGTAACAGGTACCCAGCACACTGCTTCTCCCCTTGGATGCTGGGCC